CTCAGATATGTACTGTGCAATTACACCGCTAACGGTGTTAATATTTTTCTGTGTGTGTGATAGAGATATGCTCGAACACTTCCGGAATGCTGGAGCGATGACAACACTTTGGATGTGTTCAGCTTAAAGGGACCCTCCCACCTTAACATTAGATTTGAGTTGAGATAGCCAAAATGGGGTCCCTGGCTCACAATTAATGGTTCCGGCACTCACAACATCGAGAAATGCCTTAAATCGGAAATATTGAATTTCAAAATTGCAGCATTTTGATTCAGAGGGGCTAATGCTTAGGAATACCCCTCTGAATGTGTGACGTCAGCGCAGATATCTAACGATTTTTAAATGTTTGACTAAAACGTTTTGTAGCACGCGGTGGTATATGCTATTTGCGCGCAACATCTGCCGCAAACGCCGCACTTCTAAAATAAAGTCGCTAGAAAGAGCGGAGATCCCAAAAAAGTAAACAAAAGTAAAAGTCTAATATTTTGAAAACCGGTGAATATTTTTCGGTGAAATTTGGTAGATATTCATTTTCGCTCTTTCTGAACCGAGCGACATCACTTTCATGCCAATTCATAAACTTTTTTGAAGGTGGGAGGGTCCCTTTAACGATACGGGTCGGCTGATATGCAACATGACCCCAGATCATAACCTTGACCTAAAATAAAATAAAAATAACTTTTAAGGCCAAATCATAGTTAAATCGACGCGTCTCGACCAGGAAACGCGATTTCGGTAAAAGCAAATGTGCAAGTTTTGAGTAGAAAATAGTTGTGGAAAAACATTTGCGCAAAGCGTCAATTTTTAGAGTTTATGCAGCCTGGAAGCTAAAGCGTTGACCTTAGGTTACACCTGAGACAAAAAAAATCAGAAGATCTTTAAAGAAGCTATCGAATGTGCTTCTCCGCGGCGCCGTACCTCTATTTGTTCCTGAATTATGCGCCGCGATTCGCCCAAAAATATCGAAATAGTCGAAATGTGACCTTTGCTAGCCTCTGGTGTCCTAACCTTTGACCTGATCTAAAACATAATCTAAGGGCTTTCTTCATTATTTTTATACTCTTTTGAACACCGCTCACACCCCTACGCCGGCCCGGCGAGGGTTCAGAAGAACATTGTAACATAAACAGAAATGAGCAAATAAGAAAAGAGCGAGCACAGCAATGAACAATGAACAGCAACCGAAACCATCATCTCGGGGTATGGGAATTCATTTCATAAGCCATTTGATTTTGATAAGCTACTTCATGGCGCATATTGCATGCAGAGCAGGGCTGCACTGTAAACCAAATCTACAAGTTGGCTCCTTGTTACAAGTTTGGTTCCAATTCGCATAGGCGTCACCTTGTCGATTCACCAACCCCAGGCTTGTTGGCCAGCAAACTAACAGTTTGTCTACAAGTTTGGTTCCAATTCGCATAGGCGTCACCTTGTCGATACCTTGTCGATTCACCAACCCCAGGCTTGTTGGCCAACAAACTAACAGTTTGTCTACAAGTTTGGTTCCAATTCGCATAGGCGTCACCTTGTTGAGTACTAGTCTGGGCCTTGTGAACCTACCAACTTCTGGATAGGCATAGCCGTTTCCTTGTCGGTTCAACAACCCCTGGTTTGTTGATGAACTAGCCTTTGACTGGGCATTGCTAGTTTACAAATTGTCAACAAGATAGTGTACTAACGCTCAGTTCGAACTTGTTTTTCCTTACAATCGCTTTGTTTGCGTTGATAACCTTAAGAACTTACGATTCGCGTTCGTTTTCAATTGCCACGATACTGATTCAGGAAATATTTTCTATACGGACAGGTCATTTTTTGGCTGGAAGTGGTGCACAAAACCATGACTGGCATCAGTTATTGCTCAAAGGCTTGCGCTGACAAGAAACGAAATACTGATGGGTTATATAATCGATGAATGCATACACCACATCCATTCGGAAGTTTCTGGAATCATTAGTATTTATTACGGTCACGTACCTACATCACGTAGTATGTAATTAATACTATTGACTGGAGACAATTCCAAGTGCATATTTTCGAATGGATGTGGTAAATGCATGAGGTAGGTATACCTATCGTGCACCGTCAGCATATAAGTCCTTGAAGCAAGAACTGCTGCGTATGTGGAAGAACATGGTTTTGTGCATCGCATCAAGCCAGAAGTATAACATGCCCGTATGACGAATATTTCCACATTGACCATAACAATCATGGCAGTTGCACGATCACGCAGATAATTCGAATAAATCATGATCGCCAACCAGATTAGCTTTTACAGCCCATATATGTCCATCAGTTAAGTTGAAAATACAAAGAGTTGAATTAAAGGCAAATAAATGTATTTATATATAAAAAACACCGACCGCAAAACATCTGCTCACATGTGCATGCAAAGGTCTGGCCCACTTACATTGCGCGCGCAGGGGAAGGGAGGCGTCTCGACCGCGGGTATAGGCACGATTAGTGCGTCCCGCAGGCCAGAGCGGGCCTCACTCACAGCACGAACACCACAGTTCACAGATTTCACTTTTTACTGCACAAATGCTGGAACAGCCCTCGTCGCTGATCCATGCTGCACGGCGGCCGCGCGACAACTGCTGGTTTGAACGGTTTGAAACCGCCGCGCCGGGGCCGGACGGCGACCGCTGATTGGTCCGCCAAGTCTGACGTCACGGGCGCAGCTGACCATGTGTATGCTGACCAGCTGACCAGTACAAGTTAGGCGCCGGTTAAATAACCATGCGGCAACAAGTTTCCAAAACTGGTTAAGAAACAAACGTTGAAACAAATGTAGAGTTGGTCTGGATACTGAGAAGTTGGTGTGCATAGTAACTATTGACTCGTAGTTGTCACCTGACAAGCAATGCACCAGACAACGGCTTGTTTGAAAAGTATCAGTTGGTAAACATACCAAGAGATGATTGGTTATATTACACAAGACTTGTCAATTTGGTTTACAGTGGAGCGTAATGGTCGCATTCAGGCCGCAGTCATGGGCTTAATGGCTTACTGCGCGTTTTCAGCTCTGTCTGGTCTTCAGCCAAATGGCAGGGTACGTCATACAGGCATCGAGAAGGCATCAGTCCTGCTGTCGACATGTGAAAAGCATTTCGCCGGGTGGAGCATCCCTACACTGATGACTGCATTCAACATTTTTTTTTTTTGTATTGATCGGAAGTTCTCATATTGCTCTTCAATGAAAAAAAAAACAGAAGTAAGCAGTATGAAGCATAGCGGGCCTATGAAACAGGCATGTAATAAGCATACTTATCTCATGCATAATAAAAAGTCACCAATCCCGTGATGTCTTGTGCTTTCCCATTGGCCTCCGAGGGTGATCGAATGGATTCAAACGCTTTTAAAAGTTGCTCCCTCGCTTATCGCCCCGCCTCCGTCAATTTCGTGGTGACAGGCACCGACAGACAGTCCACTGAAGGTCACAATAGACAGAATGGCGTATTTATTGCAGACAATTGATCCGTCTATCAACTCTATCTCGTTGGCTGGGCCAGCCGAGCCACGGTGACCTCAATTCTGCTGGGAATATGGGTCACCAGCTGACACGAGCTGCACCCTACTTATTCTGCGTGAATTTATGGTTCGTGGAATTCATGCGCCTAGGTAAAATGCCTCATGGCTGGCTCTTGGATAAAGTTAGTTTTGATGGGCACATTTGGTGCCTTTAAAAGGCCTGCAGGCTCAGCAGAAGCATTGTGCTAGATGGTAATGAACTGCATGATATATCATGAGATTTTATTGCGTATTCCTGGATTTATTCGATGAAATGTCTTTATGTGGGCTACTTGCATAAAGTGGGTTAACCTTGAATTTGTATAGAGCCTAGTTAAATAGAATGTGTTAGGTATGTATTAGCCACTGCCTTTTACACACACGGTAATTAGGTAAATACTAATTCTCCAACAATTTGTGTCATGATGATTTGACACCCTTTCCTTTATTTAATGTGGCTTTCTTTTGGGAATAGGGAGATACCCGAAAATAAAACTTTTCTTTCTTTGAAATGTTTGATCCAATAGGGGATTATTTGCTGAAGGTACCCAGTTCATTGTGGACATTTCATATTATCTCAGCTATTATTCGACTAAAACCTTGTCAATTTGTCTTTACCCTGTCTTGTGTGACTTGGGTCCTATTGATCGCGCGCGCATTCATTTTTAGCCCGCACTTTCTTCACTAAGGAGCCTCATCACTCGCCGCCGGGCCGCCGTTTTCAACAAACAGCTCACACAGGCGCCGGCTGCTCGTCGACAAAGGCGCCGCTCACCATACGTTTGGATGGCCAACCTTCAAACGCAGCATTCGCAGGTCACAGAATAAACAACAATCTGTGCAGTACGCCGACACGGCTGAAAGTGCACGTGCCTCTCCAAAAAGCGTCCCAGTGTTCCTTTATGCGGTGTTGATGCCAGATTTTCACCATATGTGCTCAGGATTCATCGTTTATTGCGTTCATCCAAGAATGCAGGCCGCTGTCGAAAGATAAACAAGCTGATAAAGCGGCAAGTCATATAGATCAAGGTCAAAGGGATGCGGAGATCGGGGTGGCGTTTCCTGGTTGGGAAAATGAGGAAATAGCCGGCAGAAAAAGTATTTCTAGCAAATGTCTGTGTAACTCATCTGCAAAGTAAGCACGGTGATCTGCGCAAAATGTCGTGTGGTCGATATATAATATAGGTACACTATACAGTGTTTCCTGCTGAAAGAACACAAAACACTTGGTCGATTTATGACTGAATCTGATGGTATTTATACGGCATACATCTGAAGGTACAAGTACAATCAGATTTACCATATTGCATCGATATCCGATGTTGTCCGATATCCGTCCGTTCATTCGCATTTGAATTTAAATAAGGAAATCTGAGAAGCTTTTTTATACATGTGCATAACATATCCCGCAAAATAGCTCTGTTAGCATGCACCAGGTTTCTACTGAAGAAAATGGGTCCAACGAGCTGACACGAGTATCTCTCTCGTTGCAGATGCGTGTGTCTGCTCAGCTTCAAGTGGAAGGGCCGCATCTTCGGAGGCTGGAAAAGCTATCTCATCATTGTGCTCATCTGGCTCTACGGCTTTTTGACACAAGGACTATCAATTTTCGGGGTAAGCTACTCGGCCAAGAATATCATCCGGCAATTATATTAAAGCTCCGCAAATATGCCTATTTTCTATACCTGTTTTAGTTTCAGTAGGCATGACTGTTAATACCTGTTTTATTTGCCACTTGAGCAAGGTGCCGAAACATCGATATCTTAATTTCTCGAAGTATCTCTTTTCCTCTCTGTCCTCTCTCTCTCTCTCTCTCTCTCTCTCTCTCTCTCTCTCTCTCTCTCTCTCTCTCTCTCTCTCTCTCTCTCTCTCTCTCTCTCTCTTTCTCTCTCTCCTCTTTCTTTCTCTTCTGCCTTACCACCATCGATGCATTGCAAAAACTATACCTACTTCCGTAGATCGTTTAGTGTTTGACAACACGTTGTCAAACTGCAAAATACTTTTGCTTTTGCAAATACCTTTACATGTTTTTACGAGTAACTGATAACTATAATTCGGGTATGTTATACCTAACATACCCGAATTAGCATAACATTGTGCAACACCTGAGCAGCAACTGACGCTAAAACAGCCCCATTAGTGACAGCCCATGACTCAGACCCGTCCAGCCCCTGCTGGACCCTGGTTATCCCTCCCACTCACACACTGACGCGGGCATCCCCAGCATTTGGTTAATCCCGCACGGCAGATAGTGTCTACGGCGTACCAGTCTCAGCTGTGCGTACTATTGACACAACGGGGGCTGATTAGCTGAATCCTGCCCGCTCGGATATTACGCGGTGGATTGTGTGTGCGAGGGGCCCACGCTGTGATAGGTGGCTCGCCCTATCACAAGGATGGCAAACACCACTGACAGGATATCACAGAGGAGCCGATGATTGCACTGTGGTGCAACTGTGCGTCATGCAAGCTTCGCTCCCTCCCGGCTGCAGTGTAGCTAACTTCACACTGTCAAAGAACGACCATGGGTTGTAAGAATTTTCTAAGGAGCGTCTAAATTTCGTGTTGAGTTCGAACTATCTTCCACTACATAAACTACTGTTGTTTCATATGGGGTTCAAATTATGACAGTCAGATTAGAAATTTAGTTATCTTAGGTACAAAAGAGATCAATGAGGCTCATTGAAGGTGTCTTTCCTCCAGAAAGTGCTACCCCCATATTTAAAAAATACAAGATACTTAAAGTAAAAGAAATAGCACATCTACAAATCATGCTCATCATGCACAAATTCATTATACAGGACTTGCCTGTCTCCATCGGAGGATTGCTTAATATTTCTCCTGAACCCATTCGCCAAACAAGAACAAGATGTCATTTTGAACGTATACACTCTAACAGGAATTATAGGCTTTTTACATTCACGTGCCTTGGACCGAAACTGTGGAATGACTTGATTGGGAGGGATTTCTTACTACAAGAAGTACCTCAGTCAAGGCAAATATTTAAAAGACATCTAAAAAATATACTTTTGAACCGATACTGAGAACAGAGAACATATACAGTCTCATCATTAACCAAATAGGTAATTACTGCTCTGAGCCTGTATATTAAAAACAATTTATAAATATGAAATTGTTTAATTTATAAATACTGTAAAACCAGAAACATACCTTGTTTTTGTTTCAAGCAAAACGCCATAACGTCCACTGGGGCTTCATCCAACAACAAGCCTCGCTTAGTTGGATGAGACCCGGAGGACGGCATATATTGACCTTGCATGAATTTTGACCAGCACTTGCCTCTACCCTTGTATATATATAATATATCTAGTATGCATGTGTTGGGCGTGCATGTGAGTGAGAGTGTTACCTGTTTTGGTATTGCTTTGTGCATGCGAATCTACTCACTTGCTTATCACTTTTCTAAATTGCATGCTTGCTTTCTGAGATGTATGTGGTCCTATGGGGTAGCATCGGTATAGCGGTCAGTCATTGCTGGATTTGGCGTGACTACTTATCTGTTTGCATGGTATCATGATATCATTCTGTTTTTTTTTGTGTTTATTTCACTTTCTTAGCAGGGAGTGCCGCGACTAGTTCTTTTTATGTTCTCTGGGTTAACGTAAGGTTCTGTGCGTCGCTGGGACTGCGGTGGGGGCACTCCTGGCCATCTGTTAATGGATGGCGGACTATTTAGAAAAAAAAAACTGAAGGTAGTTTGTCTTGAATGCATGTCATTTCTTTTTGCTGACATGTTGAACGAGGAAGGTAGAGATTCCTAACCTTGAGCTTTCCCAAAATGATTGAACCACTTTGAAATCACGTTCTCCCAAAATTGTAGATCAAAGCTTTGTTTATATGTCCCGTTTCTCACCGTCCTTCGCAGTTTCCGGCCTGCGACTCTATCTGCCTCCATATTACCGCTGTGTCAAGCTAGCCATCAATGATATTACAGCTAAATGCCTATATTGTCTTCCAGCTCTCAAAGCCACCAGATCATCTGTCACATTTGTAGATCATCAATACAACCCCTATTCACTCTGCGACGGCAGTATACACCGCTCCCTCCACGGGCGATGGCGTGCCAGCGGAGTGCCGTGTCTCATTATCATAAGAAACGGTTCCGGCCGGTGGTCCTGCCCCCTAACCCACCATCCTACCTCCGGGCGTCGGTACTAGAGGTGTCAATCGGATACCTACCAACTTTTTGGTATGACGATGTTAGAGTGAGTTTGCCGATACCAAACCGATACCAACTTGGTATTGGGTATTTTAATCCTAATGTGTTTGGTAGTTTGTTGTGTACCATGAACCCTAACTAATGTATAGGAGGCTAGGAAATCGGTAAAAAGTTGGTACTTCCCTCATTTTCCCAAGTTGGTTAGGTTTAGGTATTTCCCCACGGGTTTTGTTGGTATTTGGTTTGGTATCGGTACTCCGATTTTCCGTAATTGACATCACTAGTCGGTACACACCTCCCAGCCGGCGTGGGTGTGCCGCCGGCTGGATGACCTGACCTTTCACCCAGCATCAACCGGGCGTAGGCGGGGATCAGATGATGTTAGCATGGATCGGTACAGGTTAGCAACATAAGCAGTGTCATGCATTGCGTGTGACAGTCGCTAGGGGATGCATCAGATCGACTCTCACTTAGCTCAATGACGCTGGTATTACGCATTGAGCAACACTGGCAGCAAATGTCAATGCCGATTACTGTTTCATTTCCCTTCAGACTGGACCATAGCGTGCATATCGGATACACAGAACATGTTTGTATTTGTCATTACTCCATGCATTATGCAACTCGCGGAGCTACAGCTATACTTACTCGCAGTGGGGTAGTCGCGTCGTGAAGTGTTAGTGGACATCCTTTGTATGATCATCAATCCTTTATTATTTCAAGCAAGGAGTTATATACATTATATTATTAATTTTGTAAAATCTAGGAAACGTTGACTCACGCTGAATTCTGCACTATAAAGAAAGTAATATGATCGAGCACGTATCTGACAGTGCATGTCTTTATCGGCGTTCAGCTGGAGCTGATAAGCTAATTTTAGGGAATTTCCACCGTCCAGATACATGCATGATTATTGGTAGGCTATAGCATTAAGCATCCCCTATGTCGAAGCATTTACAACAGCGTTATTCCCTTTTTCGGCAGGTGTACGGCAAATATGGCTGGAGTGACGAGACCCACAAGTGCGACTTTCTGAATACGACTCCCGACACGCAGCCCCGCTCCAACTGGTTCCTCATCTCCTGGTCCATCCCCTGTGTCATCATCGTCGTCAGCTACTCCCTGATCTTCATCAAGGTCAAACAGTCCGGCCGCAGCATCCTCATGAAAAAGTAAGTTTGTTAAATGCTTGTGGAATGACTATCTATGACTATTTATTTCACAAGGAAATAGATAGTCATGCTAGTGATTTGCGTGCTTGTCGTTCTTTGACTATGAATAATGTATATTCATTATATCGTTAGAAAGATGGCCTGAAACCAGTCATCTCTTAACTTCTTGTGTAAAATGTAGGAGGTATAATACGCTTGCCAATTCATCATGCGATAAGGTTTGATCTAGTTAGTGCATACTGTGTACTGATGTGAAATTTATCATGGGATCGTGATTTGAGTTCTTGTGACCTATCAAATCTGAGCTCGGGGACATCTTCGAAGCAATGCTGCCTATTCAGTCGTTTCCCTTCCGAATCTTCCTAAGCTGTCCTTAGTCTGGTTTCTTTGTCTCTATTCATTGTGAGATGCAACTTTTTGAGTGGTATGTGTTCTCATGCTTCTAACTCTTTGTTTGCTTTCAAAAATTGTTGGTGAGTGTGCCCTATTCAGCATCCTTGTTTCGCATCAGAATGGACAATAAATAAAAACACGTCAATTGGGATACCTAGGTATAACAATTTATCCAAACCCTACACCTATAATGTTTTCAAAAGGAATACATCATACTTCGCATTGATTTTGCGACCACCATAGTAAAGCAGGCCTTTTGAGGTGATTTAGGTAGGGTAAGGTGCCTTATTAGCGACCCCCTTAATTTGAACCGTCATTGCTCACGCTCTGTGGGTGCCACTGTATTACTGGCTTGATTTTCGGAGAGGTCGTTCATTTTTCTATTAAAATATAGTCATTTTCTGCCCCAATATTCACTAACTTATTTGTAGTGAGCATTTTGGCAAACCATTGCAAAAAACGCTAATAGGGAACTCTTCCCGATTAGCGACCGGGGAGGGTCGCTAATAAGTCTATGGGTTTCCCCATATTAAAAATGGCAAAAAATACGACGCCTGAAAAGATGAAATTATGATCTCAATAAGGTAACCTATACGCAAAACACTCAATCACTCGAACAGGAACGTTTATCAAACACATTTACGTAAGTAAAAACTGATCACGTGATGCACCGAAGGCGAAAAGAAGGCGAAAACCCAAATTATACAGGCTATCTCGTATGATATTCGAGGTCCGCGCTGAATTCGGCACCCCTGCAGTCGGTGACGACATTTGACACCCCCTGCCACACATTGCAAGCTTCAGCAACACCACATTTTCATTTCTCTCTTTTCCCCTTTCTTTCCCTTGTTGAGCTATTTGCGACCATGTCAGGCGCAAATAGGAAATAAGAGTTGCGACACATTTTTAACCGCCATGCTGTACACAGTTAGCGATTCACTATGGGAAAACGGCAATCAATTGAAAAAGGAATGTCGATTCAGAATAAAAAAAGGTGCATCATCCTAATGTGCATCGCTTTTCATCAGAGAGGGCCCAAACACACACGTTTTGGATAAGAAACTCGTCATTTTTATTTAAACTCACCTGAAACGTCCCACCAAAAACATCGACAACCGTAAAGTAATTTAATTTGATAACTTAAGTATGGCTGACCTTTTGACGATGTTTTTACCCCGTTTTCTCCCGCCAGTTTTTCTGTAGGGAGGTAGGTCGCAAATCGGAAAGGGTCGCTAATTAGGCACCTTACCCTAACCCGCGCCCCGTTGGGGTCTGCCGAGCAACGCGCCCTGTTGGGGGGGGGCATTTTGCCCCCCCCCCCAAGATCTCAAGAACCACACAACATAGCGACAAGCAGCAGACGGTGTTGGGTAGCCCCAACGGGGAACTACCTTTTGACCCAATTTCATCGACCTCGGTCAAACCGATAACGTAACAAGTCAGGTCAAATGTCGAATTTTCACAGTTTACAGGCATTTCAACTCAAGAAATGTGTTGTAAAATCGGGTAAAATGCATTTCATTGAAAATCATCGGCGGGGAATTGTTCGTCAAACACATATTATACTATTTGAGGTCACTGATACCAGGTCAGGTCACAGAGGTCAGGTCACTGAGGGTCACAATAAGAAAATAGCGTGTGATGCATGTTTTATGGTCCATTTTACATGCCAAATGCCATTATGTGGGTCATGCAGCCTTTGGGGCCAGTTTAACCCGCGCCCCAGTGGCGGTCTCAGCCAACTTCGCCCTAGTGTGTGTGTGTGGGGGGCATATGTTACCACCCACCTCTAACTCAAAAACTAAGAGGGCTAGAAAGACGCGGTAAAAAGCAGTCGATAGCTCTCAATGCGTACGTTTGAAAGTATTCGGTCATTTTTCACCTTAGAGCAATATTGGGGTCACCAGAGGTCATCAAAGGTAAAATTTGCCAATTGTCATTATATTTTTCAGAAAGCATGCCGCTATCTCAGTAACTATGGTAGATAGAAAAACGCATAGAACAGCAATCGATAGCTTTTGAACTCTTCTTTTGAAACGGTCATTATCAATATTGACCTCAGGTCAACGGTTTAGCCTCCAGAGGGCAAAAACTCCAAAAATGGCTGTTTTTACGAAAAGTGTTTTTCGACAATAACTTTCGACTACAAAAAGCCACGACATTTCTATTGCCAGCATCGTGTTCCCCTCGCCGAGACGCGTCGAATGAGCTATAATTTGACCTTGAAAGGTCAACTTGAAAATTTGACCTCAGGTCAAGTTCATGACCTGACCGGAAAAGGTCATGTTGCATATAAGTCGATGCGTCTCAACAAGACAAACACAATGAGACCATCCCCAGCGTTCTATCTCTTTCCAATCGCGAGGTATTGGCAAAAAACTGTTTGTAGCCTCAAATGACCTCGGATGACCTTTCTAGAGGCTATCAGCAAAAATGACACCTTGGTCATCACGAGTGGGCTAAATCATTGTGATTCTGAAATATTTGGACTGTTCCTATGCGTACACACGGATCTAGAGGCATTTTCATTTTTCTCCATTGACTTGTAATGGAAAGGTCATGCCACTGACCTGACCTTAGGTCACGGATATAAAAAATCCGAGATATACAAATTGTTGGCTCCCATAACAGCATGCAATCCACCAAGATTAAAACCTTTCTGGCAAACACTGCAGGCTGGACATGATTGTAAACTTTTTTAGGCTTGGTCAGTTAACTTGACCTGGTGACCTGACCTGACATGACCTGGGGTCAAAAATTTCACATATTGTCCAAAATTGATGTACCAAAAGCTACCCCAAGCGGGCGCCGCAGTTTTTTATTCACACGCAAAAAACGCGACAGGGTGGTAACATATGCCCCCCCCCCCCCCCCCCCACTGAGCGAAGGTTAAAGTATGTTCTGGTGAAGGTCCGGTCAAGGTCAGGCCAAATTAGGTTAAATTTCAAAGCTAACGTTAAAAACAAGGCGGTGAGTCAGCTTCAACCGGTTAACTTGGCGGCGTGAACTTCTATTTCATGGATACCTATACCTAATTTCTGATGAACTATTCAAGTCGACAATGAAATGAGGCGTTTTTTTTTAACCCGGCAGGCGGTGAGCCTACCAGCCACCTTCCGCGCGGTGGGGGGGCACTTTTTTGCCCCCCCCCCCCGTATCTCCGAAACTACTGGACGGATCCGGAAAATTCAAACGGCGTTCGATAGCCCTGTCAAATTTGTCGAAGGAAACCAAATTTCATTGACCTCGGGGTCACCGATGACGTCACAGGTCAGGTCAAAGATAAAATGTTTCACCGTTCACGGGGCTTCTAGGGAAAGCGCTATAACACCGAGTAAAACGCATTTTGTCGAAAATCAGCGATAAGGCGTCAGTTGTCTAGTACATATGTTGCTATTAGAGGTCACTGGTCATACCAGGTCAGGTCACAGGTCAGGTCACCAAAGGTCACCAAGGGTCACCACATGAGCCCAACTTTACTAAGGTTATGCGATGCATGTTTTATGGCCAGTTTTTCATTTCCAACTCAATGGTGTTGGTTATAAGACCATCAGGTACGGTTTGGGTCACTTTCTGGTGGAGGTCAGGTCAAGGTCAGGTCAAAAAAGGTCAAATTTCAAAGTTGATATTTATGCATAAAATGGGCATCGATTCGATGCAGCTCGTCACGGGGAGTCTAATGGTGGTCTTTGTTTTGCGCTACGAGGTCTAGAATTGCTAAAAATTGAGTTTGAAAATTTGACGTCATCAATTTTGAACAGTTTTTTCGCTATAACTTCGCCAAAAAAAGAGGTATCGATCTGAAATTTGGTATGTAGATAGAAGGCGGTAGGGGCTATCATATATATTCCGGTTTTTTCGAAATTCAAAAAACTTTTTGGATTTTTTGGCTATTATATTCAAAAAATCTATTTTTTGATTTTTTTGGGGTCAAAATCCAAAAAAATTCGAAAAACCGAAATAGCAGTTTTGTAGCCCTTTTAATAATACACCTTTTATGTCTGAAACATTTTTCTGTATCTCTAAAGCTGTAGGCCTGACAGCTCTTCCCGCGAAACCTTTTTTTTGGGGTCGAAAATGGCAAAAATGACGTCACTCTGACGTCATTAGCGGCCAATCTATCATAGCCTTTGGAAAAATTTTTGGTCACCATGTGCGCTAGCTGCTCCCGGGAGGGTACTGAAAGTTTGGTGACGATCGGCGCAGCGGTTCTCGAGATATATCGAAAAAACTAAAGGGGGGGGCAAAAAATTGCCCCCCCCCCACCGCCTGGAAGGTTAAGCCAGTCAGCGTTTTAACTCATTTTCTAAATCAAACATAGGTAATGGTGTAAAATCTCATCAAAGAAACCAGACGACAGCAATGTTACAGAGAATGGCCCAACCATGCTCTATACCAATCTTACTTTCTTTGATATTGGCATAGATAACATGAATCTGGATTGGAATCTGGAAATTTCGGCCCCATTCTGCATTAGGCTGAGTTCGTGTCCAATCCAGATTCATGTTATCTATGATATTAGAAAAGGGAACATGAGGGAACAAATCCCTGATTACATATGCAGCATTGCAAAAAAAGAACAGCATTGCTTTTCATAGGCGCGGGAGCCGGGGGGGGGGCAGTGGGGGCAGCTTGCCCCCCCCCCCCCCCCAACTCTGGGGCCTTGGGGGCGGTGCCCCCACAGCTTTGAGACGGAATACCACACTTTTTTTGCAAATGTTTTCTTTTTTGTTGAAAAAGCCGAGGGGTGAAAAATAAGTGGCCTAAAACCGGTGAGAAAACTAGATTTGGGGGTACCCTAGGTTAATCTCTATTATGGTGTGCCCCCCCCCCCCCCCAGTCGGAAAGTAGTTCCCGCGCCCCTGTTGCTTTTGAATGCAGCGAAGGACCGGAAGGCTGTATGGTGCTTTGGTATGGTATGGTACTTTGAGCGCAGGAGATAACGCTTATGTGCTCTTCTTGCAGCCATAGTATGGATTACGTGCAGGCTCTGGTGAAGACGCGCGAGGACAAGACGTCCCGCATGATCTTCGTCGTGTTCATCACCTACTGCGTGTGCGTGCTGCCCATCACCGTCATGAACGTGGCGGATCCTGAGAACTGTTACCCCTACTTGAGTCTCGTCTTCTACTGCGTCTACTGGCTCCAGTACTGCTGCAACAACGTCATCTACGTCATGAGCAACAGCGTCTACCGGCAGGCCTACATCATCTTCCTGACGGAGGTGTGTCCGCCGCTGAAGCGGTTCCTGCACCAGCCGGCGCCGTGGCAGGCGGCGCGTCAGAGCACTGTGACCACGATCGCCGGGTTCCGGTCGCAGTCGACACACAGTGTGCTGGAGGCGGCACGTCGACTCCGACACGCCGACTCCGTGGTCAGCCAGACGGCGGTCAGTGGCGACTCGGTGAGTCGGGACGGGCCGCCGAGCTCTCCAAGCAGCCCGCCCACCGCCAGCAGCGAATCCCCGGGCAGTGAGAGCAGCTGCCGCATGGAGGGGGGCGTGGCACGACGCGTCGGCCCGCGCAAGACCCGGCCGCCCCCTCCGCGCCGTTCCGTGTCGCTGGAGCGCTGCTGTGAGGATGAGGTCACGTTCGAGTCCGAGCAGCGACCTCCGCTGACTGTCCGGCTCCGCAGGCGGCTGGCCGGCCGCCGGCGCAGTCTGCCGCTGGAGAAACCAGCCGGCCCGCTGCCCGCCTGGTGGGCCCTCGACGACTCCACCTGGCTCTGGTACTACTGCGACACCATCGCTGCTACCGTATCCAGGAGACTGGCCTCGGCCAGTGAGCGGCGGCCGCATCTTGACAAGAGGAGCCTGTTCAGTCGCAAACGGTCCATGTCGTTCTGAAGCTGTCGTGATACTCTTTGTGCTGTCTACACGGGTGTAAGCATTCCAGTGATATCGTTAAGTGTTTGCAAAGTGCTTTGTTTCGCAGACGCGGGCGTCTGTGCCATAATTGTAGGTCCTCAATTACTGAAGAGCGCAGAAAACGTGCCGTAATTATCAGGTTCGGATGCATCATCGAGCCAGTTAAAGAACGTCAGGGAGAAAAACAAGCACCCGGTCAGGTTGTATGTAGATAAGGAAATGCTGCGCTGTGTTTAAGGCTGGTAGTGGGACTGAAGGCAGGTACTCAGAGCACAATGGTGAGGCCGTTTTATTAAAATTGTTCGTGGGTATTCCACTTGCGTCATTATCGAGCGCACATACACGTATTTTTACGTGCTAAATGATGCTGATTAGCGTTTGAAGCTCTCTGTGTTACAAATCAAGCAAACCCGCAATTGACGATAGGATGTGCATTGTGTTACGAGAAGGTAAATGAGAGAGAGAGGGAGAGAGAGAGAGAGAGAGAGAGAGAGAGAGAGAGAGAGAGAGAGAGAGAGAGGGAGAGAGAGAAAGAGAGAGGGAGAGAGTCGAGACGAGATGAGACGAGACGAGACGAGACGAGACGAGACGAGACGAGACGAGACGAGACGTGTATCCGCGTTCATTGAAGCGATAGGTACCTACAAGTGATAGAAGCACGCTTTTATAAACACAAGGTTATTAAGATATTGGAGAAGGTGCAACATGTTTCTTTTTAGGGGGAGAAGGGGAGGGAAAATCGTGGCATTGAAATGTGGCCAGTAAAATAGCAAAGCTTATCATACGAAGGGCTCGTTAGTCGTTGCCATGACTAAGCTGCGCACTGTCGCATGTGCCAACTGTAAAAATTCACTGTTTTAGATGCGGTCCTCTACAGTCTCGGGCACTGGCCAGTTTTGTCGTTTATTCGTCGTGTGTGTTTCTGTTACTGCGTGCAGCACACCATGTGTGTATTCATCCATGCGGATTGACTTCGTGCAATGTGTACTATGTACGTACTTATGCATAATGCTGCTGATGATGTTCAGAGGCCAATGCAGCACTGTTTTATATCCATTTTGTCGATCAAAGTGTTGTTAGGCTTAGGTAGGATAAGCCTTCGGTGATGTAAACCACCCAGCAAATGTCTTTGAGTTCTTGTCTTTAGCGGAACGCGCAAATGCGTAATTTAGTTGGAGACAGCGACCCAGCTTTGATTCCCTGTCCTTTCAGGGAGTAACCTTCCTCCGTCCAAGGCTTACTGCACACCTCTCATTCTGGGGCTCTGGACGATTCCACATGTAAGTACCATGTACTTCTGTCATTTGGGAACCCTGGACAATTCCGTATGTAATATATCAGGGCTTGAATAGCTTTATCGACAGTTAACACTGTTGCAATATGATTCAACTAACTGATTAAAACGTTACACATTCTCTCATATCCTCACTTGTTAAACGATATACATAAAACGAAACAGTGGGCTATAGCTCAAGGTATACATTATACAGTTAACACTGTTACAATATGATTCAACTAACTGATTAAAACGTTACACATTCTCTCATATCCTCACTTGTTTAACGATGTAATACATAAAACGAAACAGTGGGCTAGCTCAAGGTACATATAATACAGTTACATACACTTACGCCGATAAGGCGTAAATGCCGATAATGCCGATAAATGCCGCCGATATTTGCTCTCTCTATACTGATCACAATATTGCTGACTTTGCGGCTGATCGTATAAGACCGAAGTGCTTTGGAACTTCGATGCCTGTAAACCATGATCGACAGTCATCTTGCAATGCACAAAATGTCCGTCGTTGTTGTCTCATTATGTATGTCGCTCAGTCCGCATGTTTCGCAAGTACAGTATTTCGTTACGTAAATACATGAAAAGGTGTGATTTAAGGATGTTTTCTGACATTCACGCAGGAATGAGGTATGTGCGAGCATTTCAAGGAGATTCACAAACCATCATCGCACACGAAACTTTACAACCACTTGTGTCGACATCTTTCAAGCTCACTTGCTTCTTCCAGGCCACTCTTCTTTCTTTGACAAACTTGCAGATATAGCCAAGGGCGGAGAATAAGTTCGGCAGCCCCATCGCAGCCAGTTTGGCTTGGGTAAATAATTTTGTGTCGCTGGTCGACATGTTTACCCTACTTACGTCAGAGCAGAGACTATATGGTAACTGATGTGATTTCAGTTCGGTGTAATTTATCCTCCGCCATGGCTGAACTATCAAATAACCGCTTCGGGCTTTGGGGCTTCTTGTCGCTACATGAGCCAATGATTTGGCTCAGTACTAAACCAACATTTATGTATCCCTTCCAGCAACAACATGGGCTATGTGCAGGCACTGCTGAAGATGCGCGAAGACAAGACGTCGCGCATGATTTTCGTCGTGTTCCTGACGTACTGCGTGTGCGTGTTTCCGCTGACGGTCCTCAGCGTCTCTGACCCTGACAACGAATACGGCTACCTCAGTCTCGTCCTCTACTGCGTCTACTGGATGCAGTACTGCTGCAACAACGTCATCTACGTGCTCAGCAACCGGGTCTACCGGCGGGCGTACGTCATCTTTCTGATGGAGGTGTGCCCGCCGCTGGCGAGGTTCCTGCGGCTGTCGGTGGCCCAGAATCAGCCTCGCCGCAGCACTCTCACGGTCAGTGGAGAGGGACTGACGCAGGTCACGGGGAGCGCTGCCGAGCTGAACCGGCGCCGACACGGCTCACTGACCAACAGAACGGCCGGCGGTGCCGGGAGATCGCACCAGCCTCCTCACATCCTCACTGGCGTGACGCGCCCCATCGGGCCACGCAAAGACCAGCCGAACGCGCAGACCGAAACCTCCTCTCTACAGAGCTGCGGGGAGGGGTGTCCGGCTACCAGACGCCCCAGACTTGCCCAATGGAGGCGCTTCCTGCCCCTCGAGCATCCTATCTCCCTGACAGCCGCTCGCCGTCCTCTAGAGGATGTCACGTGGTGGCGCGTGGCGCTGCTGGAAGGAAGACGCCACAACGCGGAGGACGGCTGCGAGATGCAGCATCAGTTCTGCTACGACAACGTTGCCATAGAGATGTCGGAGAGGCCGGATGCCTTCAGCGACATCGGAGTGGGAACGCAGACCAAGACGACGTTTGAGAGACAGCGGTCAATTTCCTTCTGAAAGGCAGCGGTTTATTTTGAGGAATCTACAAGAAGGCAATCGAAATTTTGCTGAGCGCGACGACGGAGTCGCCAAATATGTAACAATACATATGAAGTAGTTAGTTGTTCTGCTTGGATTTTATTCGGACAGCTTGCAACGTAAAAACGGAAGCAAAAATTAAGTGTCTTGTTGACAATAAAAACCTATATATAGTTACTTAGATATCTAATCTCATTTAACATGTAAGTGAAATAGAAGTGGATTATCTTACTGAAATTTGTGAAGTAGGATTAAGCATATCATTATCACAGTGGATTTTGGCTATGCCTATCGTATCTGCCATTCGAAGCACGCATAATCTACGCAGTTCTTGACCCTACATACGTTTCATCAGCAAACTTTTATAAAGAGCTATCGAACCGGACGAGGTCATCAAGGTGCTGTAGAAGAGCTTCGTCAAGTGAGGGTTGCGCATTATTTTAGTACGGCCATGGATGAGATCATATCCTCGAACTAGGATTTGATAGCGATAATACCTACCAATCAGCTTTGAGTGCTGTTTTTGCTAAATGACTCATGCTTCTGCTGCTCAGCCGCAAGAACGATATCTTTTTGGCATTTGCAATCTGTGGGCACTGGGCAGTTTTTTACCTAACACTTTTTACATTTCATTGTTTCGTGAATTTCGAGTAGCGGTAGGCATGTGTATCAAGTTTCATTATGAACTTTGAACGCATCTACATCGGTACTGATCAGTAGTCGATTAGAAGGATAAAAATACGGTCGCATAGCCAAAAATCAGACTTGTCTGAGCTGCTTAGGTATCTCAGCATTGTGTGTGCCTTTCAAGTCTAGTCTGTTTGTAGTAGGTAGGCCTATAGGTGACTACCTGTTGATAAAATGTAATAAGCTGACTGTACAATAACCGTTTGTATTCGTAACATCGCGTTGAAAATACAGTTGAATGACATTTGAAACCCAATAAAATAATGGACTAAATGAAAATGTAAATCAAACCTCTGCAACACCAGTCACACAATAACACCACCAAAATGTGCCTTTGAACCATAAACCGCACATGGACGTTAGTAACGACGACGGCCGAGTGGGTTGGGGGGGGGGGGGGAGGAGTTGGTAACAGAGCCTGGCAACAGCGACACCACAAAGCTCAGTTCATTGACCCCGATGGCGCCGCCACGTCTGCAGACAGCTCCATTGCGGCTGAACCGAGTTACGGAGAAGCTCGCGAACGCCTCCGTGCCGAGAGTCGAGACAATTGAGAATAAAATAGAAACTGGGGTGGAGTCGTGCAACACGGGCCGAAAATACACGGTAAATTCCTGGGACGTCTGGCAGGCAGTGAGCTGAGACAGGCGGCTGAGGTGGAGGGACAGCAGAAAAAGGGTTCCGGTAGGAAAGGTGAAATCACCGACCGCGTGGTCCCAAAAAGAAGCTATAATAAAAGCGGAAAGTATCGAAAGGAAAAATTAACATGTGGTTGGAAATGTTGGCAACAAACAGCATTTATCAATTCATTATGTGTATGCAGCCGCCTCCTATGCATTTTTTTCGTCCCTCATTTCATCGAATAGGCCCTAAGGAATAGAACCGTTCTCGTCGAACTGTGCGGGTGCATTGCCTTAAAGGTGTATACTTTTTGGGAAAAGGAAGGCATAGGTATAACAATTTTAGGCACAAAGCAGGTCTCGCCCCTCGCTATGCAGCAGAACAGAGGTCTCAAATGTTCGGATAGTGTGTAGTTGTACTGTGTACCTACCCACTACATTCTTGAGGACCTGTGACCCCCACTTCACTGCAACTGCAGTTGCGGTCTCCATTGATCGCTGCAATACCGGATGCAGTGAGCAGTGTGTGGACGTGCTATACTTGTAGCCACTGCGCAGCGAATGCGGTTTATGGGGCCGCTGTGCCATCCAACCGTTAACAGCGATGATGTGTGAAAATTGCGCCACGCTTGTACAGAGCTCGTTGTAGCAGCAGGCTTGCAAAGTCCAGTTTCCATTATTGTAGCTAGAAATTGGTCTAATGCCAATGGTCAATGATCATACTGTCCGAAATAAAAGACCCAGTATTTG